CCCATCTCACTGCCCACTCCCTCGCTGGGCTGGTCTATCTGCGCAGGAATGCGCCACCACAGTCAACCTGATGCCCTGCGCCCTCGCTGGGTCTGCCGGTCGCTCACTGGGTCGCTCACTGGGTCTGCCCTTTGCAACCCCATGCCTGGGATCTGTGCGCATGGGTCCATCTGACCGAGTTTTCCTGTGCAACCCCGCTCCACCGGCTGCTGGCTTCGCCCCTCTTACTGGTCAGGCTGAAGAATTCATTGTTATCAGACTTCTGAAAAGTTCAATTTTCTGTGTTCTGGCTCTGTTTTCTGTTGCTAATGTTTTATTGTCTCTCAACTTGGTTGTGTGAGAAAGCACGGCATCTCCACCTATGCCTCCATCTTGGCGGAAGTCACTCAGAAATTTCTTAGGCTCAGAAATCTAGTATGGAGGGAGACTTGGCTACTTTTTTTCATGATTATAATTCAAGAAATGACTGGGACTGGGATGGTACAAAAATTGGAGTTTGGGGGCTTTGGTGGTACAGTCAGAAGGGCACTATACCTGCCTAGGTCTCACCGCAAGTGCACCTAGTTCTGAGGTGCCTGCACGAGCATTAGTGTCTTCAGTGATAGGACCTGTTTGTACCGCCCAGCTGTGTAGGGCAGTGTCCTTAAGACAAGGTCTGTGGACCCTCTCTGAGTGTCATTGGGTATGCCTGTAAGAAATACAGATTCAACACAACTATTGATCAGACCCAATGAGGGTATGGGACCTGAACAACTCTATTGTTATCAAAAAGATACATTTGTACCCTAAAGTGTGGCTCTAACACAGATATCCTTGCCTTACATCAAATTTTTCATCTTCTATGTTCCTTTTTATGAGTGAGGACAATCTGGGGTGACCCAGAATATTACTTAAGATAGGCTTGAGTGACCCAGAATATGGCATTGACTTCTATGTGAGAACTAGGTAAAAGACAAAGGAAATCTATTTTGTAGCTCTTTTTATTGTTACTTTCACAGTGGTAAATCTGCACAAGGTGGCTTATGAAACGGCTTTTGGGTACAGATTTCTCACCTCAGTCACGTAAGATCTGCCCAGTGTACTGCCAGCCTTCCCAACCTATTTGTCACTATTCTGTGCACCTTTTGCTGCATCCACAATTAGGGTACTATATGTCCCCTCCTCCCAAAGTGTCCTCTTCTCCTTTCCCTGGCAAATCACTATCTACCTGTCAAAAAGCTAACACACTAAAATACATCATAATTAAGTTCCCCAAGATGAAAGATAAAGAGAGAATCTTAAAAGCAGCAGGACAAAAGGAGACAGTTACCTACAAAGGAGTTCCCATAAGTCTATCAACTGGTTTCTCAAAAGAAACCTTGCAGACAAGAAGGGACTGGAAAGAAGTATTCAAAGTCCTGAAAGGCAAAGACCTCCATCCAAGATTGCTCTATCCAGCAAAGCTATCATTTAGAATGGAAGGGCAGATAAAGTGCTTCCCAGATAAGGTCAAGTTAAAGGAGTTCATCCTTACCAAATCCTTATTATATAAAATGTTAAAGGGACTTATCTAAGAAAAAGATGATCAAAACTATAAATAGTAAAATGACAACAAACTCACAACTATCAACAACTGAACTTAAAGAACAAAAACAAACTGAGGAAATAACTAGAACAGGAACAGAATCACACAAACAGAGATCACAGGGAGGGTTATGAATGGGAAGGGGAAGAGAGGAGAATGGAGGAAAAGGTACAGGGAATAAGATGCATAAATGGTAGGTACAAAATAAACAGGGGGAGGTTGAGAATAGTATAGGAAATGGAGAAGCCAAAGAACTTGTATGTAGGACCCACGGACATGAACTAAGGGTAGGGGGAATGCTAGAGGGGAGGGTGTCCGAATATAAATGTGATTTCAGCTTGACATACTGAACCAGGCAGACTCATGTACCTGGCTTCCCTTACTTGGTAACTCATGTAAAGGAGCATTCTACGGCCAGTCTTCCCCTCTGTGCGGTTCTCATGGGGCACGGGTCACGTCTCACACTTATCTCAGCACTGTGGAATGTGCTCTTGCCCTTTCTGCCAAAGGGCTAGCTACCTGTCAGGACTGCTGCTGCACACTGGTTGAAAACTGCTGATGTTAGCTACTAGACAAGTGCTAGGGAATGTTAGAGGCTTTATTTAAGAAGAGAAAAAGGAAAATCCTGAGGAGCTGGGTTACCCCACATAACCACGGAGAGAAAGGAGGTGACACCTGCGCTGGGCTTTACAGAAACAGGTAGACTTTGTATTAACATAAACAGCACCGTGTTCCCCGCTCACGCACTCTCTCTCTTTCTCTCCCCGCCCCATGTGTGTGTTTGTGTATGTCTGTGTGTATTTCCCCATGGCACCATTCCCATGAAATTAGCTTGAACAACAGCATTAAGCGAGAGTGTCGGGAATAGTAAATAAAATAGGTAAGTTTATAAAATTAAAATTTGAGAAATGAAGTAGGATGAAGGTCTGGGCAACTGCTCTCATCATCTATTGCTTTGTAATCTGCTCCAAATCACAATGTTTAAAACAACATTCCATGCCTTGACTTGGTTGAGCTGGGCAATTCTTTCTTGGTGTCATTCCCTCCCACTAGGTTGCTGTCGGACTGTGGCTGGGACAAAGGTTTCTCATAATATATACCATGCCTTATTTGTGATGGCTGAAATAGATAAGGGCAGCTGGGTCCTGTGTCTTCACATGGTCATTCGACATTCTTGGCTTGGGATTCCTCATTTCATTGGGACAGAGTACAACTAGAGTACAGGTAGCTCGTTTTTGTCAAATATGTTCCCAGAGACCTAGCCAAGGCCAAAGCTGCAAGGCTTCTTATGATGTAACTTTGGAGATTATGCAATGTTACTTTTGCTGAATTGTCTTGGTCCGTGAAGACACAGGTTGGCTTGAAGTCAAGAAAATGGAGAAACAGACTCTACCTCTGTATAAGAAAGTGGCTTGTGCACAAGTGGTGTGGGTTGAGGGGGCTTGTGGTAACATCCTTGGAGACAAGTTCCTGTGCATCCTTACATTTTTCCCCCAGTCCTATACCCCTTTGCCCCAAATTTGTTTTAAAATAAGTATGCATTCTAATTGTAGTTGGATCTAGATTTTATTTCATTCTTTGACTAAAAAAAGCTATTGATGTTTACCTTGATTTGATTCTGCCAGCCCCCTGACCTTTTATTTTCTTTTAGATATAGTATTTCTTTATGATAATCATTTCCAAGACTATTTTTTCATGTTAGAAATTGACATTGTTTCCTTAGGAATTTCTTGTGCTCAGAATTTTATTGGGAAGATTTGGCTATTTTGTCTACATGATTATAACTTAAGAAATGACCGTAACTGGGGTGGTACAAAAACTGGAGTTTGGGCGGGGGGTCGGTGCTATAAACATTATGCCTGCTGTAATTAACCTGTTTCTGAGGCTGTGGAATTCTGCCTGCATTTTGTGTCCTAGCAGAATTCAGAGGTGGGATTAGGGGAAGTTTAGATATGTTTAAGAAGTTAAAAGTTTTTACTCTGAACCAGTACAGTTTTAAAAGTGCTATCTTTAGTCTTTTTTTAAATTACAAAATAAATTATTTAGAAAAGAGAGAATTTCATTAACTTTGGATTGAACCTAATACATAACAGAATATGCAGTGCAGTTTTCTTGTTATTCCAGAATTGTGGCTGAAAACGAAAGGCACTGACCCTACCTCCTTCTAGTTGCAGAGACGCAATCAGTAATAGGAGCAACTACCTGTCACCTGCATTCCTAGTTTATTGAAAGATGCTAAAGAAGAAAAGTGGGCCTCTTCTCTCCCTACATTCTTTTAGGAGGACGAACACCTTCGAGTAAGGATACCTGTCAACCTACCATTGGCTACTCTAGGAGAAATAAAATCAAACGATTGGGGAGCGCTGCCAGCATATGCCTGTGGTGGGAACTGTCCGTTGGAGACGGGGCCAGAACCCCTTTGCTTAAATTGACAAATTCAAAAATGTACAAAAGTTACAGCCTGCGTTTGCCTGCACACCTGAGAGTTGGCCATGCTAAGATGAGATTGATGGCTCTAACCTTGTCAGAAGTGACAAACTTTAGGACAGAGAGGTGGATACATCAGAGTACCGTGGCAGGGTGTCAGTAATGGAGTGGGGGTGGGGTCCTGTGGACCATATAGGCCTGAAGGAACATTCTGTAGTCCAGATTGGCTGGACATTAGGCTGTGTGAAGGGGATGTTGAGGCTGGGCGGACAGTGTATATCAAATAGTGGTGACGGAGGTTAGTGGTGCTGCTAGTCAGTAATGGATTCCTGAATGAATAAATAAAAGAATGAAGTGATGGGATTGCCAAGGGTGGATCCTTCTCTTACGTACTAAGCAATGGCCAGCCAGTAAGGATTCTCTCTAGAGGGGAATGATATGGGCTGAATTATGTCTGGAGAACATTATTAAGGATTCTCATTCCCACTCTTAGAATTAGCTTAGCTGGAAGGTTTGACCAAAGAACAGTAGCAGGATCTCTCTAAGGACCACACTCCTGCCTCTGCACACACTTCCATTAATGGATCCTGGTTGATCCCAGCATTAACACTTACTGAGGGATACTTTGTACCTCTAGGTTCTTCTAGCATTTGTAATTTCCAATTTTCTGAACGACTTTAACTGCTTGGAAGCCGTTTCTGGGGGAACCATGAGAGGAGTTATACTATATAAGACGTCCAGGACCCAAAGGATGTTGTATCGTTGCGATCACCCATTCCTACTTTGCCGACCAGCACCTTTCTGGGTCTTACACCTAAGTGTCAGTGGCAAACGCTTCTAAACCTCCAAACCACCAGGGGGCGAAGGAATCACTGACCCATCTAGCTCCCAGGCACGCGCTCTCTCTCGTCACGCCGGGCTTGGTCAAATCTTCGAAGGCAGAAGCCACGTCAGAGTTCTTCGCTGACCAATCACAACTGCCTATGTGCTGGGGGGGGTGGGGCTGGCAAGGCCGGAGGAAGATGGCGGTGTGGGCGAGGTGAGGTGTAGACAGCAGACTGGGGTTCAGGCGTGGGGAGCAGGGGGACGCGGAGGGATGGCTCGCGGCGGCCGCAGGGGTAGATAAAAAGCCATCTCGCGGCGGGTGTGGGAGGGAGGGTAGGACAGCCTGGCGCCACGAGAGTATGACGGGGCTGTATGAGCTGGTGTGGCGGGTGCTGCACGCTTTGCTCTGTCTGCACCGCACGCTCACCTACTGGCTCCGCGTTCGGTTCGGCACCTGGAACTGGTTCTGGCGGCGCTGCTGCCGCGCCGCATCCGCCGCGGTCCTAGCGCCGCTCGTCTTCACGCTCCGCAAGCCCCCGGCTGTAGGCAGAAACCGCCGTCACCACCGGCACCCGCGAGGGGGGCCGGGCCTGGGCGCCCCCCATCCCCGGCTGCGCTGGCGGGCGGACGGCCGTTCCCTGAAGAAACTCCCGGTGCACATGGGCCTGGTGATCACCGAGGAACAGCAGGAGACCAGTTTCTCGGACATCGCAAGCCTCGTGGTGTGGTGCATGGCTGTGGGCATCTCCTACATTAGCGTCTACGACCACCAAGGTGAGGCCTGGCGCGAGCGAGGAGGGGAACCGGGGCGTCTCCAACCGCGGGGACCTTCATATCCGGCAGGTGTACCCAGGGCTCACCGCAGACCCGCCAGCTCGGCCCCTTAAGTGCATACATATTACAGTGTTAACGCTTTCGAGGGAGGGAAGCTTTATTGGACACCTACTAAGTCTATACGTTTTGAAAATATTTATTCTTCATAATTCCCAAGTAAGGTAGGTGGTATCTGTATACCTTTGTTTGACAAGTGAGGAAGCTTGGTTAACAACATTCACTGATTTGTCCAAAGTCAAAAAGGTAGCAACAGATATATTGAAATTTTGGCCAGTTTCTGCTTTTCTACATATTTGCCCTTTTATTACGCTACCGTGTTTCTTCAGAGAGGTTCAAGACACTGATCTGAAGTCACAGTCAGGCTGTGGAGGAGTCATACTTAAGCTGAATGGTTGGGACCAGGTGGCCATAAGTTGAACTTAACTTATGGAAATTATGTGAGACTGGATAAGGGAGTACAGAAAACGCACACCAATTTTGGAATGACTGGGGTGGATCCGTGGTCCTCACTGGCCACCACTGTACTTGACACAGTAATTGCCCTCTAATAGTTTTGATTGAGGGAATTTTCACCATATGGATTTTTTGTAAATACCAGGTGGCTACAAACCTAAAGGATTGTGCTAATAAGTATTATTATCCTTGAAATCTTACATTTAATTCCCTGGACTCTCAGGCTTGCAGAGAGTAGGCACATAGTCACATAAATAACATGGTCAATAACAAGAAACGTTGGGAGTAGGAAGCTACTCAGGGAGCAGGAGAGATATTCCGAATGGAGGACTTGAGAAGTTCATGTGGAAAGATGGGATTTAGGGATTTAAGTCGGACACGGAAGAATGAGTAGAAGGTAAGGTTGAGGAATGCTCTAATTGCCAGGTTTGGGTTTCAGTCAAATCCTGAAAGCAGTGGAACTTCCTTAAAGATGTGGTGAAAAGAATGAGTTAGGAGTATTGGTATGAAGGACACAAACTAATGTTTTATTCTCTGTTCAATAACTTAAATTACTGGTATGCTCCTCAGACACTATATCGGATCTTCATTAGACAGGTGGTTTAAGTGTGGGTTTTTTTCAGAAGGGTGGGCTGAGGTCTGGCTAACTCTTAGAGGGTATTAGAGCAAACTTGGATTTGCCCTATAATCCTTCTTGGTAATGTGATGTCTGGTAGCCTGTCATTGTCAGTGACATCTGCCCTGTGGGGTAAAGTTTAATATATACTCCAGCTGACATTTCGTGGAACTCGCCAGAGAACTCGGCAGAATAGAAGTGATGTAACAGATAGATAGATAGATAGATTGCCTGTGAAACAAAATCAGTGAAGCAGAAATGACAGTTAGTTAAAGCCTGTGAGCTGTGTGGTGAATTGACTTAAAAGTCGATCACTTTATCCAGGTGAGTCTTCTAAAGCAAGGGCCTTTTACCTTCTAGTAGGAAAGAAAATGCAGAGCTAAATAGTTTAACTTGGGGTCTGCCTGCTAACACAGATTGTAATATTGCGACACTTCCTTGTTCCGGCAGTTCCGGTTATTGAATTGCTGGTGGAATTCAGAAGCATCCTGTGTCATATTCACTATAAGAAACCAATTGATAGTGAAAAGGAAGAAGTCCGGCTGACCAAATATTGACTGATAACCAAAAGGAATTTCACACAGCATTTACAGTGAATTAACTGAGAGCACTTGTGTCCTAATATAAATCTGTTTTAATTATTTCCTAAGGGACATTGTCTAAAATAAGAGACTCTCCATTTACCTATTCTTGGTTTTGATTGATTGATTCATTTATTCATTTACCAGGTGACAATTGGGCATCTGTTAAGCACCAGATACTATTCCAGACAAGTGGGTGCAGCAATGACAAAATAGACAAAAATCCATCCCTCTGTTCATGGAACTTAAATTTTAGTGGAAGTCTGACAAATATTATAAGTTAGTAAAATAAATAGTGTATTAGATCCTAAGCGTAATGACGAAAACTGGAAAGGGGGTAAAATGTTGAAAGTGAATGTTGGAGGTGGGTGGAGTTTTACTTTTACATAGAGTGGCTTAGGGAAGCCTCAGTGACTTTTTTTTCTTGTAAAGCTTTATTGAAATGATTTTGACTGTTTCCATATGACAACATAATAAAGGCAATCAATGACAGATTAATTTTATTTTGGAAAACTTCTGGCTTCTCCACCAGTCTGCAATGATCTCTGCTAAACATTTGTTAAATGTGCTATAAAGCCAGCCTGCTCTGACATAGAAATACTATATATTCTAGGAATTCTCCAACCAACAGTCTTCTACTCACAATGAGTAAAGTCCTGATAGGTGTGAGGGGGCAAGCCACGTGGGTGTGTGAAAAGTTCTGCTTTGCAGAGGAAGTACGGATTCGCCAACTTTACTCAGTTTTTCCTAGCAAACCTCCATTTTAGCTATTTCTATATAGACATTAAACTTAGAAAAAATTGTAATGCCAGGTTTATTGAGTACCTTCTGTGATATAGTACAGGGGTTCAATGAAGTACAAGAAATGGCGTCTCTGAAAGAGCCTACACTCAAATTAGGGGTAGCTGCTAAAGATTATTACAAGCAAATATATATATATGTATACATGCTAGTGAGTGGCATTCTTAAAATGAATATTCATTCTGATTATAATTGGCTCTAAATTGTATTTAATCCTTAGACTGAAAAAAATCCATTGATATTGCCCTTGGTTTGACTCCCGCCAGCAAACTGGTTCTTTTGTTTTTCATCTGCCTACAATATTACTTGTAATAATTTCTGCCAGCAATTCTTTTATCCTTCAGAAATTGGAGTTGTTTTCTTAGAAATTTCTTGAGCTCAGAAATCTAGTATGGAGGGAGACTTGACTATTTTTTTTCATGATTATAATTCAAGAAATGACTGGAACTGGGATGGTACAAAAATTGGAGTTTGGGGGCCTTTGGTGGTACAGTCGGAAGGGCACTATACCTGCCTAGGTCTCACTGCAGGTGTACCTAGTTCTGAGGTGCCTGCACGTGCATTAGTGTCTTCAGTGATAGGACCTGTTCGCACTGCCCAGCTGTGTTGCTGCCATGCTGGCAACCTTGCCGTAGGGCAGCAAGGTCTTGTGTTTTCAAGACAAGGTCTGTGGACCCTCTCTGAGTGAGTCACTGGGGATGCTTATATGCAATACAGATTCAACACAACTATTGATCAGACCGAAGGAAGGTATGGGACTTGAGCATCTCTGTTGTTATCAAAAAGATACATTTGTACCCTAAAGTGTGGCTCTAACACAGATATCCTTGCCTTACATCAAATTTTTCATCTTCTATGTACCTTTATATGAGTGAGGACAATCTGGGGTGACCCAGAATATTACTTAAGATAGGCTTGAGTGATCCAGAATATGGCATTGACTTCTATGTGAGAACTAGGTAAAAGACAAAGGAAATCTATTTTGTAGCTCTTTTTATTGTTACTTTCACAGTGGTAAATCTGTACAAGGTGGCTTATGAAACGGCTTTTGGGTACAGATTTCTCACCTCAGTCACGTAAGATCTGTCCAGTGTACTGCCAGCCTTCCCAACCTATTTGTCACTATTCTGTGCACCTTTTGCTTCATCCACAATCAGGTTCCTTGACGTTCCCTCCTCCCAAAGCTCTGGCTTCTTTTCCTGGTGAAAGCTTATCTACCTGTCCAAAGGCTAACATGGATCCTAATAAGTCCCTCCTAATTGTCACGTCATAGGGTTCTCTCTCAACTAGTTCATTCTTAGTCGTCTTCTGTCCTTGAATCTCCTAGAACTTTGTACATCTCTAAAGGTAGTTCTGTTTTGAAAAGTATTACTCATGAGTATATTACAATCTAGGATTGCCTTCCTTCCAAGATTGTAGTTTCCTCAGATGCCTCTAGTCCTCATTTTTGTTTCTATACAAGAGTATAGCTTGGTGTTATGTGTATAGTCAGTATGTATTCCTTAAATTGAAAGGAAGACTGCATTTTCTGTAACAATAATAATAAACTGAGTTGTTTCTTAACACAAATGCTGCCCAGAAGCCTTAAAAAATGGAGGAAAATTAACATACTTTTTCCTAGTTTACTTATTTGGCACACCAACTTGTGCTACCAGCAGTTATGATTTTATTAAGTAGTATTTTCCTTATTCTGAAATACAGAGTTGACAGAAGTGTTGAATATTGAAATATAAATGTCACTACACTTTAGTATAGCAAACAAGGGAAACCAGTACACGTGGCTTTCCTTGTTTGGTAACTCATTTAAAGGAGGGTTCTGTGCCTAACCTTCACCTTTGTATGATTCACTTCTAGCTCAGAATTTCACACTTATCCTAGCATTCTGGAATGTCCTTCTCCCCCTGTCCTGCCAAGGGCTAACTACCTGTCAGGAGGCTATGATAGATCCTTGTATGTCCATTTGGACTGTCCCCTCCTAGATAGTCTGTCTCGACTGTTCCAACCCCACTTGTGATGTCTTTGGAAAATTCTGTCCTGCTTTTGTTAACTTTTGAAAGGACCTCATTGTGTACCCTTCTATTTAACCACACTACTTGGTCAATGTATAAAATAAGCCTTACTTAATAGCCATAATTATTCTGTTGAACACTTACTGTGTACCAGATACAATGCAAAGAAGTACATGAAATCATCAGCAGTTTTATACATCAAGAAACTGAGACTTAGAAAGCAGGAACCCACACCTAACAAGGAGAAGATCTAGAATTTGAATCAGATTTTATTCCCAAGGTTTTGTACTTAACTATTGTGCTGTACTGACTTCTCTACTGGTGGGAGAATGTGACTACAATGCAATCACTTTTGGTACTATTCCTGATTGCATATGGTTATCTTAGAGCCTTGGTGAAGGGGTCCTTCTCTGCAGAAGAGGGACATAATTGGTAAAAGGTATTTAAAGGCAAGTAGAATTTTGTTCATACCACGATTAT